TTTAGTATCCACAACGTGTCACTGTTTGCTGCAGATTTTGGGCTGGAGGCATCATCGGACCATTCTTCTTCGAAAATGCAGCATTCTTCTTCGAAAATTTACAATAACAAAAGAGTGCGTATGTGCCAGCAAAGCCGTGGAGGCCATTTACCCGATATGCTATTCCATACATAACCCAATGCTGTATACTTTATGAATCAATGAAAAATTTATAATTTTTAATTATAAACCTGTGTTTTCTATCAAAATTACTTCTTGCGTGAATTTTGGGACACCCTTTACTTAATTATAGTAAGTAAATAACAGTAACGGTGCATGCACAGGGCAAAAATTATGGTGGATCAAGAATGACAGAAGTGTCCTAACCGGTTTGGCTCAGTGGATGGAGTGTTGGCCTGGGGACTGAAGGGTCCCAGGTTCGATTCCGGTCAAGGGCATGTACCTTGGTTGCAGGCACGTTCCCAGTGGGGGGTGTGCAGGAGGCAGCTGATCGATGTTTCTCTCTCATCTGATGTTTCCAACTCTATATCCCTCTCCCTTCGTCTCTGTAAAAATCAATAAAATATATTTAAAAAAAAAAAGAATGACAGAAGTACAGGGAAGAGTCTGAAAGAATGAATCAAGCCCGGCCAGTGTGGCTCAATAGTTGAGCATCAACTTATGAACCAGGAGTTCAGGGTTTAATTCCCAGTCAGGGCACATGCCTGGGTTGGGGGCTCAATCCCTAGTAGGGGCTGTGCAGGAGGCAGCCAATCAATCATTCTCTCTCATCTTTGATGTGTCTCTCTCTCTCTCTGAAATCAATAACAATATATTTAAAAAAAATAAAAACTAATAGCTCTGGCTGGTTTGGCTCAGTGGATAGAGTATCAGCCTGCAGACTGAAGGGTCCTGGGATGTGGGTTCGATCCCCAGTAGGGGGCGTGCAGGAGGCAGCCAATCAATGATTCTCTGTCATCATTGATGTTTCTATCTCTCTCTCCCTCTCCCTTCCTCTCTGAAATCAATAAAACTATATATTTTTTAAACAATCAAACAAATAAATAAAAGAATGAATCAAAATGCACCAGAGGAAAAAAAAGAGAAAAAAATGCCCCAGAGGCCCTAGGCTGTGTTGCAGAGGAAAAAAAAGAGAAAAAAAATGCCCCAGAGGCCCTAGGCTGTGTTGCTCGGTGGTTAGAACGTCACCTGCACACCTGAAGGGTCTCGGGTTCGATCTCAGTCAAGGGCATATCCCAGGGTTGCAGGTTCCCTCCCCACCCCGAGTCAGTGTGCATTCGAGAGGCAACCAGTCGATGCATCTCTCTCACATAGATGTTTCTCTCTATCCCCCTCCTTTCACTTTCTCCGAAAAGCAATGGAAAAAGTATCCTCAGGTGAGGATTAACAACAACAAGCACCAGAGAGGCCTCCCCTCCCCTGTTCCTTCTCTTTTCACAACTCCTTGTTGGATGACTTGTTTTTTTTAAGGGGAGAATGATGATTTTTATTTTTAAATATATTTTATTGATTTTTTTACAGAGAGGAAGGGAGAGGGATAGAGAATTAGAAACATTGATGAGAGAGAAACAACGATCAGCTGCCTCCTGCACACTCCCTACTGGGGATGTGCCCGCAATCCAGGACCCTTCAGTCCACAGGCCGACGCTCTATCCACTGGGCCAAACCGGTTAGGGCTTGGATGACTTTTTAAAAAAAAATTGACTTTGAGAGAGAAATTTGTTTTGTTCTTGTTAATCCTCACCTGAGGATATTTTTCCATTGATTTTTAGAGAGAGTGGAAGGGAGGGGGAGAGACAGAGAGAGAGAAACACTAATTGGATGACTTAAAAATATATATATTGATTGATTGATTTTAGAGAGAGAGAGAGAAGAAGGGAAAACATCGATTTGTTGTCCTACACATTTAAGCTTTCATTATCAGTGGTTCTCAACCTTCCTAATGCCGAAACCCTTTAATACGCAGGGTATTCGTATGTGGGCGTATCTGCATGTGGGCGGACCCGCCTGGAGACGGACAGAGGAGAAATGGATGGCTCCCAGCTGGATGCTCACGGTGAAAGGACTTTCAGGGACACAAAGACCTGCACACTCTGCTGGAATGTGAAAGGGCTGGGGCTGGATTCCTAAGATCGGTGTTTAAAAGATGAAGGCACCGAGTCACAGGAAAGAACATCAGCTCGACTTCAAACCGGGGCTCCTGGGGGTCGGTCCTGACGTCTTGGACGTACTCCCAGGCCCGGAGAGCGCATTCCCCTTCTGGGAGCACAGCTCTCCTGGGGTGAGGACCGGCGCTCAGAATTCCGGAGCTCGCTCTTCCAAGACCCTCTCCACCCCAGAGTGCTGGCTTCACCCCAACAGAATTGGGAAGAGAAGTTGAGGGGACCCTGAAGCCAAAGAAGAGTTTCTTTAGCAAAGCTGAACCCCTTCTAGGAACGCAATAGGCCAGAGATCCCAGGAGGGGCGGGGCTGAGCAGAGTCCCGCCCCCGAAGGTGAAAGAAAGTGTCGAGGGAACAATATTTTAAAGGAAGCCCCGCCCCCCAGCGAAGTGATTGGATAATTTCTTTCGGAAACCCAATTATGGGAAGTGGTTGGGTAAATAGTCTAAGCTCCCCGCCTGTGATTGGGTAAATCCCGGGAAAAGTTTAGCGAAAGCCCACCTTTCGCAGAAGATGACTGGGAGGCCGTTAGGCTAGAAAAAATGGCTTCAATAAGAGAGGTTCATCTCGGCCTGAGTTCCGAGGTATGCCGCCCTGGGTATAGAGCCATAGACATCCAACACTTACTTAAAACTTTCCGCTCCGATATCTTTGTCTCCCACTCCTCCCACACGTACCAGAAAACAGGTTACGGTTGCTGTTTACTGGACTTCCCCGCGGTCCTTGCACTTCCGATACTGTCATTCCTCAGCCTTCAGGATTGGCTGCCGCCTACGCAGCCTGCTTTTGTCATTGGCTGCGACTCCCGCCTGTTAAAATCTGAATCCGGTTGTTTTCCCTCCCGGGTGGCCAACTGCGCGAGCTCGCAACCAAGGTTCCGAGGAGGTGCTGAGTCCTAGAGGTCAGCAGCGGTTTGTTAAAATTTCTTCGTGACAAGACGTAGCTGTTGTTCGCGATACCCCCTATTGTTCATTCTTTTATTCAGCAAATAAAATGTTCATTGTTGGATGGTAAGCCCGTGTGCTGGCCTCTGGGAACCCATCCATTGTCCCTGTGTCCTTAGGGCTCACGTGGGGACTGCGGTCAGTTTCCACGGGCTACACAGTAGGTCGGGGGCAAAAGAGCGCCCTGACCGCCCACCCCTTACGCTGAGCCACAGGCAGACTCAAGACCAGGCTGCAAACCCACCTCCCCGACCACGCACTGGCTTCCAATGTCCCCCATAACCAAATGTCCTTTGTCTGACTTTTAGATCCTCACCCAAGGATACTTTCCATTGATTTTTAGAGCGAGGGGAAGAGAGAGGGAAAGACAGAAATATCAATGCACGTCAGTCGGTTGCCTCCTGCACGTGCTGACGTGCCCTTGACCGGAATGAACCTGGGACCCCTGGGTCTGCAGACCAACACTATCCGCTGAGCCAAACCCGCTAGGGCCCAGATGCCCTTTTAAAGGGGAAATCCCACCCCATTCCCTCCCCAGCCTCCTTCCTTTCTTTTTATTGTATTTTGATTTTCTTGTTTATCCTCACCCGAGGATATTTTCCCACTGATTTTAGAGAGAGTAGAAAGAAGAAAAGGAGAGAGCGAGGGAGAGAGAGAAATATTGAGACAAATATCCATTGGTTGCCTCTGCCCCCACAGGCTGGGGATGGAACCAGCAACCCAGGCATGTGCCCTTGGTCTGGAATAGAATGCTCCACCCTTCTGTGTGTGAGAGGATGCGCTAACCACTGAGGAACCGGCCAGGGCCTCCCTTTCTCTTACAAATGTTCATTTTACTTATTTATTATTTATTTATTTGTTAATCCTCACCTGAGGGGGAAACATAGATGTGAGAGAGACACATAGATCAGTTTCCTTCCACCTGGGCCAGGAATCGACCCTGCACCTGAGGTACACGCCCTTGTCTGGATCGAACCCTGGACCCTTCCATCTGTGGGCTGATGCTCTAGCTGCTGAGCCAAACTGGCCAAGCTAAATGTTTGTTGTGTCAGATATATGCTCAGCCTCTAGGGCAGTGGTTCTCAACCTTCCTAATGCCGCGACCCTTTAATACAGTTCCTCATGTTGTAGTGACCCTCAACCATAAAATTATTTTCGTTGCTACTTCATAACTGTAATTTTGCTACTGTTATGAATTATAATGTAAATCTCGGATATGCAGGATGTATTTTCATTGTTACAAATTGAACATAATTAAAGCATAGTGCTTAATCACAAAACAATGTGTAATTATATATGTGTTTTCCGATGGTCTTAGGTGACCCCTGTGAAAGGGTCGTTCGACCACCAAGGGGTCGCGACCCACAGGTTGAGAACCGCTGCTCTACAGACACATCAGAGAACAAGACCGAAGATTCCTGTCCTCGCAGGGATCATGGTGGGACAGACGGACAATAAACACACAAAAGGACCTTTTCTGGTTTGGTAAACGGTCTGAAGACAAAAGAGCGTAACTATGGAAAGTGAAATGCTGTGTTTCCTGTGGCTGTTGTAACAAAATACCACAAGCTCACTGTCCTGACACAGCGATTATCGGAGTCCCGGTGGAAAGAAGCCTGATACGGTGGCAGTGTGGATCCTTCTGGAGGCGCCAGGGGAGAATCCATTTTCTCGACTTTTCCATCTTCTGGAGACGCCTGCAGCACTTGGTTTATGGTCCCGCCTCACTCTGACTTCTGTTTCCGCTGTCACATCGCTGGCTCTGTCCCCCTCTGATCTCCTGCCTCCCTCTTTAACACAGTTTTTTAAATATGTTTTTATTGATTTTAGAGAGATAAAGAGAGAGGAAGAGAGAAACATCGAGCAGCTGCCTCCTGCCTGCCCCCTAGGGAGCAAGCCTGAAATTGGCATGTACCCGGCTGGGAATCAAACCAGTGACCTTTTGGTGAACGGCGATGCTCCACCAACTGAACCACACCGGCCAGGGCTCCTGCCTGATCCTTGTTATTTTCTTGGGGCCCCAGGATCATAACTCTCCCTGGTGTTCATTAACTTAATGACAGATCTTTAAACTTTAAATTAAGGAGTCTTATCATGATTCTTCATTTAATCATACCTGCAGAGTCCCTGTTGCCAGGTAAGGTACCCTATTCACAGATTCTGGGGGTTAGATGTGGTAATCTTTTGTGTGGCGGTGCGGGCGGGGGGAGAGGGTATTATTCTGCTACCACAGATGATGTGCTCAGGGAAGACTTCTTGGAGGAGGTGACCTTTGAGATGAGACTGAAGTGAAATTCACAAACAAACCCACGGTTTGAGAAAATCCTTCCAGGCCTGGCTGCTTTGTCCCCTCCCCGGAGAAATCTTCCCAAACAAACGATGTCCCATTTGTGTCCACTCACACTGGGGCTCACATCATTTGAGACGATGGGGGAACCAAACTGCTGAACTGAATGGCTCCCACCATCCCGTCCCAGGCAGAACCCCTCCACACCCACCCCAACTCCTCAAGCTGCGGTCTCTTCCTCTCGCCAGCCCTGACCCTGTCCACGGAGTGGGGATTCACTGTATGTGTGTCCTGCTCCGTTCTGTCCTAACTCCTCTCTGGGTCTGTTGAACAAAGGGAGGAAGAGTCTTTATTCTAGTAACAATGGTCCTTGTCTAATTAAACAATAAATAATACGTCGCATTCACAGTTCTGCAGTCAAAGGAGAGAGTACATCCCCGATTCACAGATTAGGAAATTCAGTGTCAGAGGCAAAGTCACGTGTCCAAGGGTGCCCAGACACTCAGCAGCAGCCCCAGGCCAGTCAGGTCCCATCCACCTCTGAGTGGGTAGCGGTGAGGGGAGGGGATGTCAGGAACCAGCCCCTCTGCGGGTGCTGGGAAGCCCCTGCTACTGGCCCAGCGGCCCCGAGGCCGTGGCAGGGAGACTCCAGTGGCTTGACTGCCCGTAGTCAGTGAGGTCCCGGGCAGCCACCTGGATGCAGTACCGGGCGTGGGGCTTCACAGCCCTGAGGGTGAAGGACGTGGCTTCGATGGGCCCCACCTGAGGGCAGAAAGACTGTGGTCAGTGGGAGGAGGGGGCTGGGAAGGGCCATCGTCCAGCGATCGGTGTGACTGAGCCTCCAATCCTCCATTCTAAACCGTTCGCCGCCCCCCACCACCAGCCCCCTCCCAGGCTGTGGCTTGTGTGGTCCGACCTGTGTGGACTTCCTGCTGGTCCCAGAGCCAACTCGTTCAGGAATCCTTCCAGGACCGCGCCGAGGCATGGTCCCGTTTCGAGGGGTGTCTCAGTGGTGAGATCCCTCACTCCCAGACCTTCCCCGCCCCCCAATCCCATCCCTCCTCCTGGCTCTAAACCAGAGCTTCTGTCATTGACTTCAATGCCTCCCTCCCCAACCACCCCCCCAGTCTCACTGTATTAACCATGTTTTAATTTTTTTTTTTTGTATCTTAGGATATTTTGGCGTCTTAGCATCTTGCTGCCCAGGAACAGACTGCCCTTCTTGGGGTCAGCCAACTGTTAGAGATGGCAAAGGGGCACGCCTTTCATAGACAAACCAACCAATCCATCCTTTTCTCTAATTCCCCCCCACACAGGCCAGTATTCCTCCCGCCCTGAGTCGCCCAGTGCCAGGTGCCAGGCAACGTGAGATCACCCATGTAGCCCAGAGCCCACAGGATTATTCACACTCGCCAGCCCCCGGCATGCACCCCACCCTGTCCCCTTCCCCAGGGAAACCCAGCAGAGCTCTGCCCTGGCTCGCCACCCCCTCCTGCTCCAGCCTCCTGCGTCCTAATGCTGCCTGTATGCCCTGCATGGCGCGGCCTCCTGCGTCCTGATGCTGCCTGTACGCCCTGCATGGCGCGGCCTGTCCCCTTCTCTCAGGAAATGTAGTCAGTTCTTCTCTCGATGGCCTTGGCCTCTCATGTTCCCGCAGGGACCTCCGAAGATTAGAGCCCCATGGGTACGAATGAGACACCCACTCAGGTCGCCTTCCCTGCTTTCTCTCCGTCCATCTTTTCTCCCCTGTCCCTGCTGCTCCACACTCTCCCTCCCTGACCCGGCCCTCACCTCCTTCCATGTCCCACTGAATCCTCAGGATGTCCCACTCCGGCCCCCACACTCAGCTGCCCCACCCCAGGCCTGCCTAGCTCCCTTCCCTGCTCTGCCTGAGTGTCCCGTATCGTAGGCCGATATGGTGCTGCAAGTTGTAAATTTAGCTTAATGGTTGCACAACTTTATGAACATACACAAAGCCACTGGCTTAAGCACTTTAAAACAGTGACTTTTCTGGCATGTGAGTTCGATCTCAATTTTAAAACTGCAAAGACTTTAAGAAAATTAATGAGCACTAGTAAAATTTAAAAGCCAGTTCCCGGGCTACTCGCCACAGCCACCCGTAGTTCATGGCCACTGTCCTGGAGCGGACAGAGAAGACCCCCCAGCGCTGAAGACTCCCACGCCGCGGGGCAGGCTGTGAAAAGCTGAACTGCAGACTCGCTTCTCGGCCCAGGATCCGGCTCTGCCCAGGCCACCACCGACCTTCGGATGCTCACAGGACACTGCCGTTATTTTCCATTTTTTAAGAAGTTAAGACAACCCTAGCGGCTTTGCTCAGTGGATAGAGCGCCGGCCTGTGGACTGAAGGGTCCCAGGTTCGATGCTGGTTGAGGGCACATGCTCAGGTTGTGAGCTCCATCCCCATTAAAACAGCCCTGGTCGGTTGGAGAGTTATCCCAACACCAAAAGGCTGTGGGTTCCATTTCTCGTCAGGGCACATGCCTAGGTTTCAGGTTTGACCCCAGGTCAGGCCATGTACGGGAGGCAACAGATCGATGTTTCTCTCTCCCTCTCCCTTGCTCTCTCTCTCTAAAATCAATAAAATCTTTTAAAAAAAGTTAAAACAATATAGGTTGTTTTCAATCAAGGTGAAATTTACATGGCATAACATTATCCATTCTAGAGTGGACAATTCCATATCCCTTAGTACATTCACAATGTTGTGCAACCAGCGCCTCTAATTCTAGAAAATTCCATCACCCCCCGCCCCCAAAACCCTGTTTGCATCAGCAGTCACTCCCCACCCTCCTCCTCAGCCCCTGACAACCCTGAATCTACTTTCCACCTCTGGATGTGCCTGTCCCGGACATTTCACAGCCGTGGAATCACACACCTTGTGTGTCTGGCTTCTCTCCCTGGGCATGATACGTTCAGGGTTCATCCACGTTGTAGAGAGTGTCAGTGCTTCACGGCCGAGCAATACTCAGTGTGTGGATGGGCCGTGCTTTGTGAGCCACTCTCCCGTGGTGGACGTTTGAGCGTTTCCACCTTTCTGCTCTCGTGACCAGCGCTCTGTGAGATTCTGTTTGAGTCCCTGTTTTCAAGTCTTTGGGGCAGATACGCAGGAGCAGGAGTGGCGTTGCGGGGCTGCCTGCATTTTGCACACTAGCCGCAAGCCATCAACCTCAAGCTACACGGGAGAGCTTTACACGTGCTGCTCTCCCTGGGACTCACCCTCCCCAGCGGCCTCTCCTTTTCCTCACCTGGCGAAAGCGGGCGGCTCCATGACGCTTGTAGCGGATCCAGTACTTGAGTGAGAAGATCTCCGGGAAGGGCCAGGACCTGGGAGGTTCCCACTGCACCCTCAGCCCCTGCCCATGGAGGGGTCTCAGGTGCACGCCTTCTGGAGGGTCTGGTTTGACTGACAGACAAACAGGAGACAGGGTCAGCAGAGGGCAGTTCCATGCATGCATGCATGCAAACAACCAACAAATATTACTTGAGGGTCCCCTGTGTGTCCAGTGATGTTCTGGACCCCGGGGACACAGCAGTGACCAGTAGAGACCCAACCCGTCTCCTTTTGGAGCTCCATCCACAGGACAGAAGGAAGGGACCAGAGGAAATCTGCTGGTCATAAAGAGGAGGGAAGAGCTTTAGCAGCGGCAGCATCGTAGCCAATGAGGTTTATCCGGGGCGAGATTATTGCTCATTGAAGAAAAAAAAAGAGTAGGGGAGAAAGTTCAGGAGTGCAAGGAAGAGAGTGGCTTGCAACTTTTTGAGACATAATTCGCGCACCAAAACTCACCCTTTCAAAGTGTACATATAGTTCAGTGGTTTTTAGTACATTCACAATGTTGTATGAACACCACCACTATTTAATCAACATTTTCATCACCCCAAAAAGAAATCCACTCCCATTAGCAGCCCCACCCCCACCCCCAATTACTGCTAGGGGAGCAGGCGGGTCAGGTCATAGGAGGATTTGGGCGTTTACCCCAAGGGAGTCGGAAGCTAGAGCTGTGGGCCGAGGGGCGGGACCTGGCTAGGGTGCGGATCCCAAGTTCGATTCCGGTGAAGGACACATGCCCCGGTTCCGGGCTCGACCCCCAGTAGGGGGCGTGCAGGAGGCAGCTGATCAATGATTCTCTCTCATTGATGTTTCTAGCTCTCTCCCTCTCCGTTCCTCTCTGAAATCCCGCAGGATCCGCGATAGAGGACAGCACTGTGTGACAGGCAGACGGTGGGGGTACCTCGAGAGGGGGAAGAGCACAAACAAGCCAGGGACCCTCCTCACCCCCCAACCATGGCCCCCACTCACTGATGTGCTCTGGGACAAAGGTCACGAAGCTGCTGCTGCTGCCCCCGGGGCGGACAGCGGTGACGTTCAGCATGTAGGGCACCATGGAGAACATCTGGACGTCTGGGATGGTGCAGCTGGTGGCTTCTGGGGTGGGCTGGAGGCAGGGCTGGCTCTCCCCGTGGGCGGCCACTCCCAGCCTGGACACGGATGGGCACTGTGAGGCCTCAGCACTCCTGCTGGCCCTGCCGTGCCCTCGATCCCAAGTAGGGACAGAAGTGAGGAGCCCTGGCTCGGGGTCCGGCTCTTGCCTCTGTGACCCTCACTCGAGGGAGGCACTCACGACATCACAGACCCCATAAGTACCCAAGGTTTGGGGTGAAAAGCACGCTAGATGCTCGGGTCCCAGATTCTACAGGTTTCCGGAAGATCAACATTCCAGCCTTAGAATTCCCACATTCTGAGGTCTACAGAGTCATGAACTCCGGAATCTGAAACAGTAAGGTTCTGAGACCAGAGCCGAGTGCCATCCATAGAACTTTCTACAGCATCACAATGTCCTGTTTCTACATTGTCCCGGGCAGCAGTCATTGGCCGCCTGTGGGGTCAAGCGCTTGAAACACAGCTACATAACTGAGTGGGGCTTTAAGTGGGATTCATGCTGTGTAATCTAAGTGTAATGTTTCCAGTTACCAGAACCCTTGGGAAAGTTGTTTGGAACAAGTGGGTGCATGAATTTATTGCTTCAACTGCAAATTTTATGAAATCCAATCTGATCAAGAAATTCTAATGAAAGTTTAGTATCGGAACTGAAAGGCACTATATTCATAAAATACACGTGGAATTCTGAAGACTTCGTAAAAAAGGATGTAAAATATCTATTTTTTAAAGTAATGATAACGATAATATTTTAGTTATTTCTATATTAATTTCTATTCTAAATTTAAATATATACATTGGATATAAGTATGTTCAATTACATTATGCTCAATCATTAAATGATAAATATTTGGAAATATAGTTATTATTTACATAAAATTTAATTTCACCCATTTCCTCTTTTTAAATGTGGCTTCTAGAACATTCTAAGCGACCCCTGGCGTGACCTGTGTATTCTAGGAGGCACGTTTCTACAGGACTTGCTGCCCTAGCACTCGCAGGGTTCCAGGTCCGCGCTGTCTGCAGTCGCCCTCCTCCCAGGGGTCAGGCTCCGCTGTGGAACCTCCAGGAAGCCCTCCGGGCTCTGACCTGTATGTGGCAATGAAGGCTGTGGGCCTGGTGGAGTTGGCAGCCGGTGGCAGGGTCCAGAAGCAATCTACGGCCATCGGGTACCTAAAGGCCCAGCACCACACCCTGGACTGGGTGGGGGCTGCAGGGGGGAGGGAGGAGGGGGGAGCGTGAGCTTTCAAACTACCCACAAGTACCCAGGGTTTGGGGTGAAAGCCACCCTCGGTGCTCAGTCCCAGATTCCACCGGTTTCTGGAATGTCAACATTCCAGCCTTACAATGCCCACATTCTGAGGTCCACGGTCAGACTCTGAAATCTGAAGCAGGAAGATGCTGATTCTCTCCATTTCCGAGACACCAGGGCTGTGAAGCCCTCCCATGGGTTCATCCCCCTCAGCCCCAGCCAGTGCCGGGCACACGGGAGGCACCTGATAGGGCTGGTGGAATGAGTACATGAGTGAAAGGCACCTACGTCACCTCTCACCCCCTACAACCTGCAAAGGTAGGCACTGTTGGCTCATTCTCCAGGGTTAACAAGCCACAGAGGAGGCCACGGTAGTGGAGAACCCTGATGGGAGGGAGATATTTCACTGTATCTCCTCTTTGTTACAGATTTTTGGTTTTGTTAATCTTCACCCTTGCAACCGAGGTACGTGCCCTCAACTGGAATCGAACCTGGGACCTTCAGTCTGAAGGCCAACGCTCTACCCATTGAACCAAACCGGCCAGGGCTCCAGTTTTGTTTTAAAGCACATGAGTGCATGCAATTAACCCCCACCCCTCCTCTCTCTCTCTCTCTCTCTCTCTCTCTCTCTCTCTCTCTCTCCAGGCGGTGGCTGCCACTGCCTGGTGTCACTTTGGAGGAGGATTCATCTGTGTCTCACTTTCCCACCTGTGGAACCCCTTCCCATCCCACCCCAGAAGGTTCCACAGCGAAGTCCAGTCCCCAGACTGGCCCTGGTCCCCCAGCCCCCAGGGACCCTACATACCTTCTCTCCCACTGCAGGGTGAGCAGCCAGCCCAGAGGGCCAGGGCCAGGAGAAGTCTTGGGGCCATGACTCCTGTGGGCTCCACTTCCAGACGCTGGGCAAGGGGCCCCTTGGGAAGGCGGGGCACGCAGACCCTGCCAGGCTCCCCCCTTCCCTTTCTCTGGGTTGGACTCACTGGCAGGTTTGTGGGGCCGAGGAGAGTCAAGCAGGGGCAGCAGATCCGGCTAGTTCCTTTGCTGGCCACCCTGGGCCAAGGGTGCGGAAGGCTCTGAGGTGGAGGCAGGGGGAAGAGGCCACAAAAGGGAGAAGTGGAGACCCCGTGGCCTTTCCCAGCACAGTCAGTCCTTCCTTCCGGCTGCAGTGAGGAGGGGCTGGGGAAACCCCAGAGGGGACAATCTCATGGAGCAAGACAGAGACAGAGACAGGACGGGAGACTCAGAGGAGAGGAGAGAGGGGAGAGGGGGTGGGAGACTCAGGAGAGGAGAGGGGAGGAGAGGAGAGGAGAGAGGGGGTGGGAGACTCAGGAGAGAAGAGAGGGGGTGGGAGACTCAGAGGAGAGGAGAGGGGAGAGGGGGTGGGAGACTCAGAGGAGAGGAGAGGGGAGAGGGGGTGGGAGACTCAGAGGAGAGGAGAGGGGAGAGGGGGTGGGAGACTCAGAGGAGAGGAGAGGGGAGAGGGGGTGGGAGACTCAGAGGAGAGGAGAGGGGAGAGGGGGTGGGAGACTCAGAGGAGAGGAGAGGGGAGAGGGGGTGGGAGACTCAGAGGAGAGGAGAGGGGAGAGGGGGTGGGAGACTCAGAGGAGAGGGGAGGAGAGAGGGGGTGGGAGACTCAGAGGAGAGGAGAGGGGAGAGGGGGTCGGAGACTCAGAGGAGAGACAGAGTTGGAGATAGACACACACAGATAAGAGAGGAGACAGAGAGATAGAGACAGGGAGAGAGACAGGAGCTGGACATAGACGAGAGAGACAGAGATTGAGACAGGGAGAGATGAGATAGAGAAAGTCAGGAGACGGAGAGATAGAGACACAAAGTCTAGGAAAAAAGAAGACGGGGACAGGGAGACCCGGGCATGTACACAGCAGGTGCCCATTCACGCGGGGACCCCCGCGACAGGTCCCTGCTACCGGCCAGAGAGAGACAGAGCAGACCTGGGGCAGCCCCTCCGACGACATCCTCCCAGCCACGGGGATGCCCGGCGGCTGAAACCCCGCTGGACACCCTGCCTGCCCTGGGTGAGCGAGGAAAGCCCCGGGGCAGGCTGGACATGGGGGTTCACGGTCTTAGTCACCTCATCCCGGGCTGGGAAGGGCCCAGAAGCACCAGGGGATTTCGGGGAAGTTGCCAGGGCAGGGGGTTGGGGTGGGCTCTCCCTCCCAGGAGCTGGCCCAGGGTCAGGAGAGTGAGGTCAGTGCAGGCGTGGCTCCTGTCTCCCCTTAACTCTGGGAGACTCTGTTCAGGGTGAACTTTCTGGCATCCATTTTGACTTCTTAAAACGTTGCATGAGCCCTCACCGGTTTGGCTCAGTGGATAGAGCGTCGGCCTGGGGACTGAGGGGTCGCAGGTTCGATTCCTCAAGGGCATGTATCTTGGTTGCGGGCACATCCCCAGTAGGGAGTGTGCAGGAGGCAGCTGATCGATGTTTCTCTCTCATCGCTGTTTCTAACTCTCCATCCCCTCTCCCTTCCTCTCTGTAAAAAATCAATAAAATATATTTAAAAAAATATAAAACGTTGCATGAACACAGCGCTCATCATGGGCTGAGCCTTGGGTGCGGGAGGGGGTGCCTCCATCTCCTCACCCTGATCCGGGCCACCCCCCCCCCTCGAGGTGGGAGCCCAGCAATCAGGCCACACGTGTCCCCTGCTCAGTGAGCTTTATTCCTGGGCTGGTGTCTGGCAACAGGACATGAGCCAGGGAACTCAGATTCCCTGATTTGGGGGGGGGGGGCCTGGCAGGGGCCTGAGAGCTGCACAGCGTCCCTGAGCCTGGAGCCTCTGCATCTGCAGGATCTGGCTCAGGATCCGCTGCACATCTTCATCCATCTGGCCCTGCGGGGGGACAGAGGGGGGCCTGGGCGCCCTGCCACGGTACAGACGGGGCAACGGGGGCCAGGGAGCAGCCGGGGGCTGGCCGAGCCAGGGCTCACTCACCTGGATGGCGTGTAGGAGGTGGCTCCGGTACAAGGCCACCACTGCGCTGTGCTCCCTGGCAGCGTCCTGTGGATGTGGGGATGGGCGCTCAGCAAAGCAAGACACCCCAAGGTGCCACAGTGCCCCCTGCGGACCCTGAGCCCCTATGTCGATGGCATGGACCAGAAGAGACGGTGCCAGATGACAAAATACTGCAATGTTTCCCTCCCGTGCCTGGCACGTGCCCCCAGCCCTCTCCTGGGGTCCTCCCATGCCTGGCACGTGTGCCCCAGGTGCCTGCGTGCCCCCAGCCCTCTCCGGGGTCTCTGTGGGCCCGGTGCGGCTCTCACCTCCAGCTGCCCCTGCAGGGCCTCCACCTGGCTGCGGAGGGCCTCCACCTCGGAGCTGCCCGGGACTGCTGGCTGGTCCTTCAGCGCCTCCTTAAGACTGAAGACCTCCTTGGAGAGCTCTGTGATCTGGGGGTGGGGGTGCGGGGGGTGTCACCCTGGTGACCCCGAGCTCAGGGCTGGGGCAGCAGGGGTGAGAGAGGTGGGACAGAGGCTTGCGAGGAAAGGTCACATCCTAGGCTCTAGAGCAGCTGTTCTCAACCTGTGGGTCGTGACCCCTTTGGCGGTCAAACGAGCCTTTCACTGGAATCGCCTAAGACCATCCTGCATATCAGATATTTACATTACGATTCATAACAGTAACAACATTACAGTTATGAAGTAGCAATGAAAATAATTTTATGGTTGGGTCACAACATGAGGAGCTGTATTTAAAGGGCCAGAAGGTTGAGAACCACTGCTCTAGAGGCTAGCAAACTGGTCCTCAGGCTAAGAATGGTTGTCATCGTTTTAAATGGCTGGATTAAAAGTAAAAAAGAGAATGCTATTTTCTGACACGTGAAAATTAGGTAAAATTCACACTTCCGTGTTCACACATCAAATTGAATTGGTGCATGGCCACGCCCATTCGTATTCACGTCACCTATGGCTTCTGCAATGGCAGACCTGAGCCCAAAACACTGCCTATCGGGTCCGTTACAGTAACGTTTGCGGGTCCTGTCACACCCCCTCCTGGAGTCTGGAAAGGGAAGGCTGGTGGAGCAGGGCGGGAAGCCGGGGTGGCTGTCAGACAGCCCGGGGTGGGGTCCCTCTCTATCCCTTTCTTTGAGGAGATCTTGGGAAGAGGACTCAACCCCTCTGAGCCCAGTTTCCTCATCTGTAAAGAGAATCATGGTTCCCACCAGTTCACTGATTCTGAACAGTGAGTAAGTGAAACTGCTGGGCAAAGAGCAGGCACTCAATAATGCGACACTTCATCATTATTCCTATGGACGGAGGTTCTCATCAGAGGCCATGCTGCCCCCAGAGGACACCTATGGCTTCTCCTGCAATGAGAATGTCCGGGGAGCTCCTGGCATCAAGTGGGTGGGGCCAGGGATGCTGCTCAACAACCCATAGTGCCCAAGACAGCCCCCCACAAAGATGACCTGCCCCTTAATGCCACTAGTGCTGAGAAAGAGAAACTCTGATACAAATACAGCATAATCCCTACTACAGCTTTATCTTCATTTTACAGATGTGAAAACTAGGCTCAGAGAGGTCAAGGGGCTTATCCAAGGCCACACAGCAAGTCCTATCTGGGTGACTCTTTGCACTAAAGCCCTTGGGGCTCTGAGGGTCACATGCACTATCCAGTGACATGCTGTGTAATTTTGAGCCATCCACTTTGTCTCTCAGCGCCTCAGTTTACTCATCTGGAAGATGAAGATAAAAATGCTTTCTGGCTCTTAGGGTTGTGAGATGAAAAGTGACGGTGTGTGAAAACAGCTGAGTAATAACCAGAGGCCCCTGTTACATTATTCTTACTATTTAAGAAAAGAACTTGGGAACTTGGGGTTGAGCCCTGGAAGAGCCGCTGCACAGCTGTGTGGCTGTGGCCAAGTGGCTTCTCTCCCTGGGCCTCAGTTTCCTCAAATGGGACAATGAAAACAGCGGTCTTATTGGAACTTAATGCGAGGATTAAATGCATTGATCCAGCCCTGACCGGTTTGGCTCAGTGGATAGAGCGTCGGCCTGCGGACCAAGGGGTCCCAGGTTCGATTCTGGTCAAGGGCATGTACCTTGGTTGCGGGCACATCCCCAGTGGG